GAAAAGCTTTTAACTCATTTCATTACTGCACTCTTGGCAAAAAGTGTTCTAGAAAAATAGTTCTATGACATAACTATAGCAGAACCATTTTTGTTATCATATAGAACCATTTACACATGTCTACCATGAATATATACATACACTGATGAGCCAAAACGTTATGACCACCTGCCTAATATACTGCTGGTCTTCCGTGTGCCTCCATAAGAGCTCCGACTTGCCAAGGCATGACCTCTGCAACACCTCTGAAGTTACTCTGAAGAGTCTGGGACCAGGATGTCTTTAGCAGATCCTGTAAGTCCTGTAAGGTTTAAGGTGGAGCCACTGAGGATTGGACTTACTGTTTCAGCACATCCCATAGACGCTTCATTGGGATATGGGGAATTCGGGGGCCAGATGAACACTTTTCGTCATGTTTCTCTTTCTTCCCAAACAGTGTGTACAGTAGGGGGGGCCCATTATACTGCTGAAAGAGGCCGCTGCCATCGGGAATATCACTGCCATCAAGATGTATACCTGGTCTGCAGCCACGTTCTGGTAGGTGGCACATGTCAAACTGATGTCCACAGGAAAGGCTGGACACAGGGTTTTCCAGCAAAACATCACAGATGATCACATTCCTCCACCGGCTTGTCTTCTTCCCACAGTGCATCCTGGTGCCATTACTTCCTCATGTAAAAGGCACACACCTACCTGGCCATCCACACAACTCATCGGAGCAGGTGACCTTCTTCCATTGGTCCAAGGTCCAGTTCTGATGCTTGCATACCCATTGTGGGTGCTTTCAATGGTGGACAGGGGTTAGCATGGGCACTCTGACCCAGTGTTGTGACACACTCCTCCTGTAACCGTCAATAAAAATTTCCATACACACACACACACACACACACACACACACACACACACATTCACATAGGAATATATGGATATTTAGCTATATCCACTATACTACTTCTCATACTACTCATTTAAAACCTAGAGTGCATCAGGCATTCCTGCTATATTTTTTGTGTATTCTGATGTGTCCCCAGACTATATTAAACAGTCTGAAGGAGTAACAGTGTGTCCTGTGTTTTATTGGTTTATCCTCACCTGAGAAAACAATAAATCTCTCACAGCAACCTAGATATACTCAGAACAACTGGAGTATCAGACACTCATAAGAGCAAATCTACTGCTGATATATAAAACTATTAAGAAGAAATGATTGGGTTACATTTTGTTATATATATTATAATGCCTGATTAGTTACATATGTCAATATATTGTTACTGTCAGAACAAAACCAATCTCCAAAATAATAACAGAAGAAGAAAAAAATACTCGAACTTTAAATGTACATTAATGTAACAAGATAATTTTAAGTTGTTTCTATTAGTCCATTCATCATGAAATATTCATGAAAGGTATCTGGAATCATTTTATAGCATACTGGTATCATTGTATGCAAATGTTTGAACACCTACTAAACTACACCCCTTTTGAAAATAAGTTAGCACATCCTCTACAGGAAATACACTTAAATATGACATTTTTCTGCAAATTTTAGTATACAATTTCTATTTATTTTGAGTTTAACAAACTGAAGAAAAAAAAAACAACTAAATATAACCTGTGTCAAAACTAATATTTTTCTTCCAATACATAAACTTCAGCAAATAAAAGTATTTGTGCATTGAAGTTTACAGAAGTGTTCTCTTTAAAGAATGTTAACTTATTTTTACTAAGAAAATCAACAAGACATGCAATTTGACTGTATCTATACTCACCAAGCACTTAATCAGTAACCCCTGTACACCTGAACTCATTCATATATCTATCTAATCAGCCAATCATGTGGTAACAGTGCAGTGCATAAAATCATGCAGATACAAGCCAGCAGTTTCAGGTCATTCACATCATCCATCAGTATGGGGAAAAAAATGTGATCTTAGTGATTTGACTGTGCATGATTGTTGGTACCAGGCGGGCTGGATTTTCATGCACAGCAGTCTCTAGAGTTACTCAGAATGGTGCAGTAAAGAAAAGAATATCCAGTGAGCAGCAGTTTTGTGGACTGCAATGCCTTGTTGATAAGAGAGGTCAATGGAGAATAGCCAGACTCATTTGAGCTGACAGATAACCACTCTGTACAACTGTGGTGAGCAGAAAAGCATTTAAGAATGCACAACATGTCGAACCTTGAGGCGGATGGGCCACAACAGCAGAAGACCATGTCAGGTTCCACTTCTGTCAGCCAAAAACAGAAAGCTGAGGCTGCAGTGGGCACAGACTCACCAAAACTGGACAGCTGAAGACCGGAAAACCTAGCCTGGTCTGATAATCCTTGATTTCCACTGAGGCACACAGATGGTAGGGTCATAATTTGGCACCAACAGTATGAATCCATGGACCTAACCTGCCTTCTGTCAACAGTCCAGGCTGGCGGAGGTGGTGTAATGGTGTGGGGAATGTTTTCTTGGTACATTTTGGGCCTGTTAACACCAGTCATCGCTTGAATGCCACAGCCTATTTGAGTATCGTTGATGACCATGTGCATCCCTTCATGGCCACAATTAACCCATCTTCTAATGGCTACTTTCAGCATGATAATGGACCATGTCACAAAGCAAAAGTCGTCTCAAACTGGTTTCATGAACATGACAATGTGTTCAGTGTTCTTCGGTGACCTTCCCAGTTGGAATGTTTCCAACATCTTGTGGAATCCATGCCACAAAGAATTGAGACTGTTTTGAGAGCAAAGGGAGGCCCTTCCCAGTATTAGTATAGTAATCCTAATAAAGTGCTCGTTGAGAGTATATTTAACACAAGGTGAACATCTTATGGATATGAGAAAATGTATGTACATTTTTCTATTACAGTGCTTCATTTGACTATCAGTGTTTATATGTTTGTTCATCAGTTTGATAGTTTATCTGAAAGTCAGTGCTACCAGCAGTCTCCACACTCAGGACAAAAAATGGATCACACACAGCAGGTGTGAGAAGGCTGGACAGCCTGGACACTGTTGGCTACACAGTTGGTACATGCTGGTCACATGGCCTTTCTCTTCTCATGCCCTTTGCCCAGTTTATTTAGGTTTTATTTCAACGTCACGGAGGCCTAATTGTTCCAGCAACATGCCCGAATGGAAGAATGCACTGGATGAATGTCAAAGAAGCAGACTGAGCTGTCAATCAAAGGCTGGGCATGGTCACCTTCAGTCTGAGTTATCTAAAATTGAGGAAGAATTTAAGCTCAGACATTTAAAATAGCTGCTGTATGTAGGTACATTTGCAGTTTTGTGATCAGAAACGTTGGAGCTAAGGCTAGATAATTTATACAACTAACAGTATTACAACTAACATTATATTGTTAGAAATATTACTATCAATGCTTACAGTATTAATAATACTTCAGAGAAACAAAGGCAGAAACTGCAGTAGTTTATACCAGCACATACTAGAACTGTGGCTGAACATTTTGTAGGAATCACAAGTATGAATAATGATCTAGTGGATAATCTGGTATTTGTAATGGCAACAAATTCCTGACCACAAACTACAAAGCAGCTAATCGCATCTCTAGATCTGTGATAACTTCTGCCTTGAGTGTAAAATTGAATGTCTTTTCTCCCAAACACAATTGTGTTAGACGTCTGAATGAATTCAGTGTGACTGTGCTGGCCTACTTTTCACCCACTCCTGCTATGATTCAACTAGGTTAGCAGGTCCAGTAAACTGGTGTTTCTGTATCATAATTAGAATATTACATTGAACCATTCACTATTATCATCTTTCTTGGGGTTATAACAAAATGCAGTCTTTCAAAAACTGGAACGTATTAGCCACTAAACCGTTTAAACCTTAGACCTTACTATAACATAGCAACTAGTAAATCAGTAAGCACTATTGTAAATCCAGTGCTATATAAGTTCTAAAAGAGATAGTTCAATATATTCTGCATCCCCTCTGTGGAGAGGGACAGTTACTAATTCAGGATGATATGGATTCAGGGCTATGTTAATCACATGATTTGGATATATGATGCCCTGCACAAATATTGGCACCCCTGGTAAACATGAGCAAAATGGGTGGTAAAAAAACATTATGGCTTATCCTTTTGATCTTTCATTCAAAATATTAACAAAAATCAAACCTTTATTTGAAGTAACATGATTTAAAGAAAAACAACTACATCTCATCATGAAATAAATATTTTTCTCAAGCTTTCCCAAAACCTCTTAGTTTCCTACAAAACATTTGAAACCTGTGACGTTGCACAGGACTAGCATGTTAGAACCATTTTACATATTTGTCTGAAATCAAATTGGTTTAATATTATTGAAAATATTTGACAAACATACTGTATCCAATCCTATGCAAAACTCATGAAACTATTTATTGGAGCAGTAAGTATTTATTTGTTGTAAAACATTAGAATTAATACAAATAAAGAATACATTGTGTGTGTTTGCTTGACTATTTCCAAAGCTTTCCAATATCCACTTCAGCTATTTAGTCCTTCATTAAACAATCAGATGGAATTTAACAAATCCATGTATTGACTAGAGTGCAAAGAGATGTCAGATACCAATCCTAACTGTAGTCTTATAACCAACATATTAATAACTTGGCTAAAAAAGAAAATTCATATTTTCTGTCCTATGTGAATATAACAAACTCTTCACTTGCCGTTTGTATCCGGCAGTCGAAGGCTGTTTCCATTTATTATGGAACATCACCATCTGCTGGACTCTTGTGACACTTTTCAGCCCCCAGTTTTTATTCTAACACTGAAGGTCAGTGAGTGAGCATGTTTTGATGGCAAGGTGACATCTGTATAGAGGGACATGACATTTATTTAGTTCAGAACACAAAAAAAAACAAACAACTTAATGTTCCAGTTGTCCAGAAAGGTAAAAGATAGTATGACACGTTTGAAACTTGTCATTTAAACTAATGCAGAAGCTCAGGAACATTCCTACTGTGTTCTGCAAATTGTCAAAAAGAAACAAGATACAAAACACAAAACACAGGTCACTTGTTAATACACACATACTGCAATAGATATACATGATGTCTTTGGACTTAAACTACATATTTATATATTGGCTTCTACAGATTATTCAGATGTATATTGCACAGTATGATGCGCAATTATCTTTTCTACAAACTTCTTAGCTGAGTAAATTCTTAGCTGAGTTGTTAAATCTTTTTTAACTATATCAAGAAAAAAAACTCTTCACTGAAGAGCAGACTTTGAATACTTTCTGCAATAATATATAAATATAAAATGAAAATCATCATGTGCATTTTTATGTATATATACACACACACATACAATTTGTTTTCATGTTTGCATAACTATTAATACAGTTTAATACCTACCTATCAAAACATTTATACATAATAAATATGAGTCTATTTACCAAATAAACCTGCAGGCAGAGTTTAAGTTTGCGGGTGCATGTTCAAGCTTAAATGTTCAATAATTAAGGCACGTTTTTGAAGCTTCAAACAGGTTTCGTAGGTCAAAAAAACTGCATAAAATTTCATGACATAAAACTGCAAAGTTCAAGTTGTGTCTGAGATCACTATTACACATAAATAACTGCACTAGTGATATGCAAAACTTGACATGCTAGTTATAACTGCGTCAATGCCACTTTTTTAATGAACAAAGAAAAAAAAAAGATTTACTGCATAATGGGTAATGCACTTGATTCAATCTTTTTACCAGCACAAAAGTGAATAAGGAATATAATCAGCTGTCTTGATTATACAAAATTTTGCATATTATGTGTAAAATGTCACATCTAACCAAGTAATAAAAAGAGGGACTAAATGCAAAGTTTCATTTAAGCCCCAAATTTGAACTGCTGAAACTACAAGACCAGGTTTGACTACTAAGTTCTTAACATAGTTCTTAATAACAATAACCCAGCCAGTAAAATGTACAATAAGAACATCTATGATCATCTAGGTTAGTAAGTTCAGAGCCAGTCCTGTGTGTTCACACCACTGTTTTGGCAATTCCTGATTGGTCTTTAAGCAGGTATTTGGGATTGCATGCAGTAATAAATGTTATACATGTTACATGAATAAATACTGCTTTCAGGTATTTTTTTAATATTGTCATTTTTACAACTATTAAAAGGTAATTTTCTTTGTATGATTTGGACTGATTTTCCTTATTCTTATGCTTTACCAGCTGGAGGAACGTGAACCTGCCACCCATCCCTCCTTTTAAAAAAGCAGCAAGTTACAAAACTCAGTCCTGCAAAGGAATGTACCTATTGGTTGAGCCACTTCAAGTCCCTGTAATGTAGACACCACCAGTGATGTGTGACCTCAATGCTGCAACAACATAACGCGTTACAACAACTGAAACAAGTCCTGATGTAAATGGTTATGTAAACGCATATTTTATAGTATTTTTATACTATTTTATAAAGCGTTATGCTTTACTAAATACTTGTGAGTATTGCACAGGCTCTGTCATATACTTGTTGTGATATCTATGGGCTTAAATATGATGCTATGAGTTTTTATGTAAAAAGAAAAGAAAAAAAAACATGCTGTTGATAGGATGCAGAGAGTGAGAATGCACCATGCATAAGACGATGTATTCCAAATAGGACAAGACAAACAAATGTTCTTTAGAATGTTAATGCAATATGTGACTCTTATTTCTCTCTTTCTAGTGCAACCTCACTTACCCGTCCCGTTTATTAACATGGCATCATGCTGGTTGTGAAGAAAAATAAAATTCATAAAAGAATAATCTAAAACAATAAAACACTCGGCATCATGTTACAGTGTAATGTTTAAATATTTCGACTGTGTTTTTACTGTAAAAAGGCTTCACTATCAGTAAAACAAGCATGATTCATGATAACACTGAAATTTGTGCCCAAACATTCACTCAGTGGCCCCCATCCCTGGTCATGGAGGCCCCCTGTCACGCATATTTTGGTGTTTCACAACACTAAATTCACCTGATCCAACTAATTACAATTAAAAAGCACTCCTGCAAATGTGAAGAACAGGGCTACTTCAGGAAGCACTGAATGTTCTCCGCTCTGTATCATATTTATGCTCATATAATCATTGGCCAATGTGTCAGTTTCGTCAAAATGGATCATGGCTTTTAGACTGAATATTTGTGTCCAGCAAACTTGGTTGTGTATGTTTATGTGTGCGTCTCTCAATACTGGTGTTTCCAGAACATGATTTGTTTATCTTCTCCTCCTGTGATGACACTGCTGCATTGCTCATTCATCCAAATACATGTGATAGGACCTGAAATCAGAACAAAATCAAGCTTGTGTGAGTGAGTGTAAACCTGCTTCTAACACAGAGGTCTTCATCTCCAGACACTGATTTCAGTTTCCAGTTCTCGAATTTGCAATCACTGGTGGCTAAACTACTTATGTGCCTGATCAGCCACCTAAGCTCAGTCCCTAACGACCCCCCAAGCTGTGTCCTCCTCCTCAAAGTCCACACTTTGATGACATCATTAATGTGCAGACCTATAGGGCATGAGACCTCAAGGGTGCTTGTTCAAATGTGTGAATTTGGGATAGATTTGTGTGCCATGCAGGCTCAGTATGTGCCACACACGGCGTAACGGCTATATTCTTCTTTTTTTTTCTTAAATGCACTAATTTGCTTATTTACAGTATCTGAAATCAGATTACAAGCATAATGTAGCTCAATGACAAGGTAAATTTAATAAACGATTATCTTCCTCTCTGTCATGTTGGTCAGACAGCTATAAACAAAACCACTCGCTCTGATTGGTCCTCACCCATATCAAATAATTCTGCATAATAAGCAACATCCGCAACATTGCAGTTATCGCCAGAGGCCACAGTCAGGGCACACAGAGGGCATTCCTGAGCACGCCTTGGGACACCCTACTGCCTTGTAGTACTCATGCATGGGCACATGCAATTGTGGACTGCAGGATCACCAAGTGCACCAATGGGACTTGGTTCTAATGTCATACCCATCAGTGAAAACAAAATTCAGGACTGGAAACTGGATTCAAGGCCTAAATTTAACAATAATTTAATTTAATCTTCATTCTTCATTAAATGTCATGCTCAGCTGTCCACACTGATTGTCTGGTTCTTTGTTTAATCAAAGCTTTTTATATTGTCTGTGTGCCTTTACCTGAGTGAGCAGGGATCTTGTGTATGACCTTGCTGCTGAGAAGGTCCCAAATAAGCAAGTTCCCTGACTGTCCACCAGTCAACACAGTGTTACCGTCCCAACAGAAACACCTGTTGTCACAAAAAACATCAAGGTTGAGCAGTTATGCATATTGAGAATTCTGAGCGGGTAAACTGATTTGCTGCATGTTAATTTTATGGCTCAACCTATGAGTGACGTGTAAGAATATGAAGTGAGGCTGGGCAAGCAAAATATATCAATACCTGAAGCCATTTTCATAAGTGTTTAATTTTTCTGAGGTTTGTGAAATAGCTGGAACAGAAAAAATGCTCCAGCACAACAGTAGTACCACACTGAAAAAAGGCTATGAAAAATGTCTTCTTAAAATTTAACCACTGTAGAAATAAACTGTTTTAGGAGGAAACAGGAGGGGAATAAAACAAAGAAAAGACATCCACCTAGACTAAAGGCCACTTGGTGGATCTTTAAAAAAAGATTATGACATGGCATGGCATAACATGAGCAGTTCATGCAGTTATTATACACTGGTTGTTGTTTACAGGCTCTCTATAACTTGTCTTTTTGAGTTTGTTTACCCTTTGCATTAACATGTGTTTCATGTCCGAAATTACTTTAGTAAGATTCCATTTACACTTTTCACTAAATGCATCCCTAGTGTGACCAGATGGGATCTGATTTTGCACCAATATGGGAACTGAGGCAGATATCTGCTATTTTTTGTGCACATATCTAGTAAAAAATAACTAGTAAAAAACTTGGCCTGGGGGCTTTCATTGGCTCACAATGAAGGAAGGCACTTAGTTTGGGGATAACTCTAGCCTTGCGCATCCTTCCCTCTTACATTTCTGTGTTTCTCACCTGCTAGTCAAGCTCTGACTAAGTAATTAAATGCGGAAATAAAAAATGCATTTCATTTACTCGTGTTGAATGTGGTCAAGATCTGTCTCTAATCACTGCCAAATGTGGCGTGAGTGATCTGATCATAATCTGCTCACAATGCATCATGGGTGTGCCTGCAGTCAAGTGAAATCTGAATGTGATCCAATCACTGAAAAAGCATGCTGATGCAAGGTGAAAACAGTGTCATTTATGATGCATAAACAAGGACACACTGCTGTTATGCAGCACCAAAAGCTACCGGAGAGATAACAGCACCTCCTTGTGGACTGAGTGTGTGAGTGTGCGACATTCAAGCCAGATCCAGTTACCTCTGCTCATCCTCTGCAGTAACAGTAGAAAGCAGCATGCCCGTCTGCACGTCAGTAACCTTCAAACACGAATCCTCACCCACACTAAGAATGTTTCTACTGTCTAAATAAAACACATTCACACACAGTAATTAGTCATACATATTCCAGAATTCCAGGATTGTTCTGTAGCCAGACTGACTGGCACACCCACCTGGACTAAAGGCCACTTGGTGGATCTTTCCAGAATGGCAGGTGAGTTGATGGAGTATGGAGCAGCTGGCGATATCCCAAACACAGAGAGTGCCCTCTTTAGTGCCTGATGCCAAGAGTGTGCCAGCAGGACTCAGAGCTATTGTGTTTACCTGTATACACACACACAAACACACACACACACACACACACACACACAGTAACAAATTTATTCACCAAAAGCTGCCAATCTATAATCTCACATCTAGAACTCTAATTACTTCATTCACTAATTTAGTGACTGACATCAATGATGGGAAAAGCTATTGATTTAAAAACAAATGTGCTTCATAATGGTCAGTAATATGTGGTCCTTCCAACAGACTGCAGTACACTACACACTATTTGTATGAAATAGCTTTTGTTGTTTCACTGCACCATAAAAGAATGAATCACTTGTCATACAGAGAACACCTGGAGTAATGGTGTTGCTGTGAAGGGGTGATGTAAAAGAAAATGACAGGAGACAGACTGTTTGATTAATCGATTAATTGTACAGTCAAGACACTAATCTATTACAGAAATAACTATTACTTGAAGTTTTAGTCACATTAACAAAGTAACTGTAATTTGTGTGGACTGCAACCTTTCAGCATGAACCATGGGTGAAATGCAAAACACCACTCACCCCAGACTCATGTTCCAGCTCAGCCAGCAGCTCAAACTGAGCTCTCTTATTACTGGAGATATCTGCTGCTACACACTTCCAGACCTGTTAGAAAACAAAAATGTGAGCAATGAATTCAAAAACAGATTAGGAAATATTCATATGTGGAATGCATCAAATACCTTACAGCAATCTAGCCATATTCCTGTTGTTATCACTTTTTTGGTATAACTGTGTGGCTACAGAGCGGAAACCTCTTTTTTATAGGCCTGACAGATTACAGGTGTTTTCAATAGCATAATACAGACAGTTGAGGGAACTCTTAACCTTTACAGTGGAGTCCCAGGATGCTGTGTACAGCTGATTGTCTCTCCAGCAGACCTGACTGACCGCATCATCATGACCCATGAGTGTGTCCTGCCTTCTACCATAGGCTATTGAGTAGAAGTACCTGTTAAAAGAGGGAGGACACAGCAAAATTGAAGAAAAGAAAAAAGAAGCGACAAAAAAAATAGTCAAGAGGCTGGAATAAACAGCTGAACTAGTGTATAAACATGAAAATCAGCCTTGTGAATGCTCACACATTATTGTCCCATGAAGAACAAACCACTGTTTTATCCTCTGGCAGCATCACACAAGAGGACAAAGCCTAGAAGTACATTGAGAAAGAAAGAGAATTTACATGTGGGTGTTTCATTAACTAAGCACGCGTTTAAAATAACAGTTCAGCAACAAATCAAATTTACACAAATTTAGGTGGTCAGGCAAGTCATGTTTGGTGTCTGAAGGTTGCTTTCTTAAATTTTTGTTTAGGCTAAAACCAGCTAACAACTAATGGAAGCTTATATCCTATCAAATAGCACTGTTGCTATGGCATTATCATGTGCAAATCATCGCTTACTTTCCTCAAACCGTGTAGAGTTGTTACGAAATCTCAAATTGTGCAAACCTGATTTTTCACTAAACATCTCTGTGAGGTTGAGTCGTACCATGTTGGAAAAGGACACGCTCCTCTGCAGTCCACCACCTTCTTTAGAGGACATCTTCAAGGTTGAGTCTGCAATGAAAATGATCAAGCAAAATTAGGCTTAAGGCAAGCTTAAGTTCATATAAAAACCCAGTAAACTTATGCAACCATTCAAAAGTTTGAGTCACTGTTTTCAATAATATTAAACCAATTTCATTTCAGGCACATATATAAAAATGATGAATAATTATCTAAAAATAAATAATGGCACTTATTTATCATTTCACTTCTAGATGTTATTGAAAATATATTGTTCAAAATATTTGAAAAAACATCTTGGAATATCTTCTGGTACAACAATTATTAATATAACAAGTGATTCCAAACTTTTGAGCACTATTGTAAACTAACAAAACTATTCTGTGTTTCAACAGATACCATTCCCTACCTTGAGACGTAGAGAAAATGGATGTTCCACTTAACGTCCCTGCAATACCAGTCACTGCCCTGATTCACCATCACACACAGAACAGGAAAGAACGCATTAGATACTGACTTTGCAATAACACACACACACACACACACACACACACACACACACACACACACACACACACACACAGGAGACTTAAAGATGGTCACACACACTCACTCTTTATGTATCTTGTGACTGGACTGCAGTGTGAGTTTGTTCATATTGCTCCAGGCCAGCGTCTTACTCTCTTCTGTCAGGTCCTCGAAAGAGTCCAAGCTAGGAGAGGCTGAATATGAGAGTACACATGTGATTAAATCACATTAGCTTGTTGTAGTTAATTGTGATCAACTGCATTTGTCTTATATTCTACAATTTGACCCTAAAGAAAAAGTTTTTTTTTTCATTTAAAAAGCAGTGCATTTTCTTACAGTGATCTGATGGACAAAATAAGCTTCATCAGTGTGTATTTATTACCTTCAACAATTCAACCTGAAATCACATGAAAGCAGGTTCAACATAAAAACAGGGTGAAAGCTGTTTCCAGTTTTCACCGACAACCAGTGAAATCAACGCGTGCAAGATTCTAGCTCTCTCGCTCTCACACTGCTTGGTTATGTCTTGTTTCAAGGGAGGCTGATGCGTTTCACTTTACTAATGCTTTTGTTAGTTTGCTGCTTTATTGATTTATCCATAGAAGGGTCAAATTATGAAAATGTGTTAACTGTTTAAAAATGATTGTGGCATTAATATCATGTTAATGTATTATTAACACATTACCTTTGACACTACTTAAACACTACATAAGACTTTGGATAGGCCCTCAGAGATAGAGGTCAAACTATATAAAAGCAATAAAAAGTTCAATTTTTTATGGAGGCATTCAACGTGAGCATTCATGTTAAAGGAACGGTTTGGCAAAATATCTAAATTTATATAATGTTGATAAGCCAAGACAAAAGACATGTTTGGTGTCTTAGGCTTATTTCTTTAGTTTTGCACTAGGGCTGCAAACTAATGCTAACAAGCAACAGAAGTTAAGGTCAGCAAAAACAGTCAAACTAATAGTCATCTTAAAGCCTGGTTTTTGCTTGTTTGCCTTTTGTCCGAAATAGAGAAGCAAACTTTAGACACCAAACAAATCTTGGCTGATGGACTACATTTGGGGTAGGGCAGTATCATGCAAATTTTTTTTTTTTGTCATAGTAATCCTTTAATATATGTTTATAAAGTTCAGTATTAAAACCTGGTGAAAGGTCACTGGACGAGGTGCTGAGGCTGGTTCCTGAGGAGACATTGTGGAAGCGGGGAGTGATACGCTGAGGATGAGGAGTGGTGAAGAGCTGTCTAGGCGTCTGTCCAAACTCCAAAATCTGCGTCAGCATTGCTACCTTCTGATCTGGATCCTCAATACTAAACAGAAAACACCAGCATGTGCCAGCCCATTATTAAAAGCATTAGAAAGATGGGAAATAAACAGTCAAAAACAGAACATCTTTCATGAAAACTTTTATATAGCATATATAGAATGATCAATATTAGCAATTGTTCACCTGTCACAGTCAATGACTCCCTCATATGTTAATTGATGGAAAACTACAAAACAAAAAGACAGACAGCTACATAAGAAAAAGACTACATTGAAACTGCTGTATATGCTGCATAAGACCACTTGTCAATAATTATATATAATGCCCACAAAATAAATAAGTAGAATTTGATATTTTTTGTAGGAATGAGTGATGTATGCTTGATCTGTGATCCAAAACTTCAGTGCTGGTTTTACTTCAATTTGAGTCTATGCCACTGCCTAGTTTTGCAGAACCAGGAGTGATCTGGAGAAATCTTCTGCAAACAAGGATATGCCCCTGAAATAAAACCCACCTCCAAATCCCTCTTCAAGTAACTGGAGAATAATCAATAACACAAGTGAATCTAGCTAGTGTAAAGCTATCATTACCTCTGGCACAAATGGAAACTGTCCTAGATATACAAAATAAAACTAAAATTGAGAATATTTTTGTATAATAATTTTGCTCTGATTTATTGATTTTCAGAATTGTTTATATCAGCCCTGTGTATTTTGTATGTGTGTATGTATACCATTGTGTGCTGCCACAGCTTCACTGCCTCTCTGTTTGTAGCCAAAGATCAGATCAATCCACTCATGCAGGTGCTCAGAAACATGCTGACTCTCCAACGCATCACGCATCTTCTGCAGGAAATCATCTGCTTCTACTCGCAGAGAGAGGAGCGTGCGAGTGAGCAAGACAGAGACAGAGAGATAAATAACACTGTCAGTGTTCTTAAGCACTATTTACAGTTCAGTAATGTAAACTGGATTTGACTAGTCAAATAACATGGGATAAATTTCCCCAAATTACCACAGACAGCCCACAGAAATATCATAGCCTATATGTACATAGCACAGTTAAGTGACAGGCACCACAGCAATAATATATAACAACTCAGCACATGGTTGTGCCTATCACAAGGTTTTGTTATTACTACATTATTGTGAGATTTACATGAACAGTATTATTGCTGAATTAGCTTCAGTTTCAGCAAATTACATACATTACATAATTTACAGAACATCCCCAGATAATACTAATGCGGCCTGAACAGGGCTTTAGTTTATCAACAGAACTGTAATGAGTCTGAGGTCGAGTTAAAAAAAAATATAAACAAACAAACAAAAACAAAAAACCTTTTCAATAAGAGAGCAGAGCACGACTTAAAGGACTACCTGAGGCCCAGGGAGGCAGCTCAACGTCTCCTACTCGACCTCCACCCTGCCTCCGACCCAAATTCAAACTCAACAGGTTCTTCAGGAAACTGCTGTCTGTCCCGTAGAACTCGGGGATCAGCTAGAGTACATATACACACAAATCTTTTAATGCTTCTGTAAAAAAAAAAATGGGTATAGTGTTGGGTATAATGTTGTGTTATGAAAATACTACCCACTATTTCCAGCCTCTCACCTCTTTGAAGTCGGTCCCTCCCTCTAAACAATTTTTCCATGTTTCTCCAACACTGCATAAATAGACATTATGAATAAATTAATAATTTAATAAATACATTTTGACTTTATGGAACAAAACAGTGACAGAAGCAGTGAAAGCAGTGTATGGGTGATGATACCTATTAAACATCCGGTCTGCGTGGTCATACCGTCCATTCTGCAAACACAGCATGTGCTCTGGAGCTTTAATGAAAGACCAGACATACACATGCACATAAACTTTTGTCAAACTTGTCATCTAATCAGTGATTCCTACACACTTATATTTAGTGAATTAGACATGTCTGAGGAAGGTACGAAGAGAAAGAGACTTACCCACTCTAACGAGGTAAAAGAGAACGTACCCAGGAGAGGAGTAATGACTACCATACATGAAACGAGGCTCAGGCATGTCCCTGTAACGGTCCTGTACAAACACATTCATACATACACTTTATGAGAGACAACACTGAATACACAATACACATCACAACACACACACACACACACACACACAAACACAAACACAATGTCCTAGCAGTGAGATTTACATTCAGACCATGCTTTGGGACCATAGCAAAGGCAAAAGTCTTATGGAAAACCATCAGCCCTTTACTAAACTTGACAGCTATGCAGGTTAGTTATTTAGTAGATTAGTTGGGCTTCTTGTCATGCCCTGCAAACATGGTAGCAATCAAGGTCAATGGCCTGCATAATTAAAAAAAAACCTGCACATCTGTATTCATGCACAATGAAGTGGTTAGGATATTCAGGTAGAAATCAGTTCGTGCATGGGTACTCTATCAAATTTCGTTTTCTTTCGGTTTGGGTTTTGTGCTAGAACCTTGACAAGTTCCAACAATGGTACATGAATAGTTATTAAAAGCAGCCTAAGCAAGAAAGGATGCCGCACTGCCAACCTAACTGTTTTTGTGTACAAGCACAAATACGTAAATATGTATAGTGACGTTTTGAATGTGTACTAAGCAGACTGAGTAATGTAACTACATTGCCAGACCTCACGTAGCACAGAACCTGTATAGCTGACACAGGAATTGAATTGATACATTTCAACGAATTTTACTGGAGTGGTGGAGTTACTGATATTTAAAGCACAGTTCTGTGAAACAGTCTTCCTGCGACAGCAGATCATGTGTGTAATATAGGCAGGAAGCAAAATGGAAAACAAATTAGAAATTTATGAGGTGAACTACATTATTTACCATATTATAGAACTATTCAGACTTGGTGGCTGGAATAAGCACTTACATTCCAATCAAACGTCAAATTTGAACGCTGTTTGATGTGTCTTTGTAACACTTACCAGTAGTCTTTCCAGTCTTTCTGTGTTTAAAGCTCCCACAGGTTTACTTAGATCCCGAAACGAGGCAGGATTCAACAAATCTAACAGAACCAAAACATCTTTTATTAGTTATCACATCTACTTGCGCACTCTTGCAATCATCCATTTACAGTACATTTATAGTATTTAGCAGATGCTTATCTGCTTCTCAGAGTCTTGCCCAAGGACCTTTACTGGTGTGGCACTATGTGCTTTCCAGGGAATGGAAGCCTGGTCTAGAGCAAATATATGGAAATCCAAACTTGATTTAATATTTTTTTTAAACAAGTGTATATTTTAGTAGCAAAACTAGTTCCAATGTCCATCTCATAAACCTAGCCAAATATGTCTGCCGTTGTGTGTAGGGCTCACCCAGTTGTGGGCTGCTGTAGTCACTGATGACCCAGGGAAACACAGGGTACTGAGAGAGGTCGTTAACGCTGCGGTCTGCCAGGTTGTTGAGGTGCAGCAGGTACTGATAGTTAGAGATGTGGCCTCTCTGCCACTGCAACATGTAACTCTCTGCTGTGTGCTCTGTTACGTGATTCTCTGTCTCAAACAAACAAACATCCTGATCACATTTTTTAATTATGAGTTAATGAACATTTGTACAACAAAACATTGACATATTGGTTGTATGTTTCTTCCATCAAATTCCTATAATTAATTAAATTAAAACTATATTGTGACAATTTATAGAAAATAGCGAAGAATATTCATACAGATTGACTATTTTATAGGCTAACAGTTTATAAAAATGTATTACTGTATGCAGATTGTATTGTTTTGTTTTAGGTTTTTAAGTCAATACTTATTTTATATACACTGCTTTTATAATATTTTGATTTTTTCAGACAAGACACTAGGGAATACTGCACCATCTTTAAATAAGCAGTTGTTTAGCTGCAGTTTAACAAATGTCAAGGCTTTAATCCACAGCTGTGTGCTACATGAAATGTGACTGCTCTGGTTTATCTGAGGGTCAGCTCAACTGCCAATAAACCAGATGCACTCAAGTGACGGCGTTCACGATGCACATTAAGCTGCAGCTTCTAAGATCACAGTAATTGAGTTAAAGAATCATGTGACCCATTTAGGTTTAAAGTCGTATTAAACTCTAAATGGCAGCTAATCTAATGACAATGTGCTTTCCCCAGTGAGTTTGTAAGTGTGTGGGTTAGTGTGTATAACATACCTAGGAAAGTGGCAATGTAGTAGTACAGTTCATCCCTGTCTTTAGTATTGTAGAACTTCAGGTAGATATCTGAACACAGATCATTCTCTGTACAAAATACCTCCAAGCCCTGTCACACAAACGCCCAAACACATGAACAGATAAACAACCACACACATACTACCTATACAGTCAATATACAGACAAAAAACACACGCACCAGTGGTCTCAGGCCGTGTCTTCTTTTGTAGATGCGACGGACGCTATGCAGCCCAATCTGCACCACTAAATCCTGTCTCACACACACAGAACATATTTATTATCATTTCATTTTAAAAGAAAATCAGAGAAATACGATGCTGTGTTCAGCCCCTTTAACACATACCCTTTTACCTGGCAGTGTCGTTTCTACCTATATGCAAGCTACGCAAACTGTGCAAGGCCTGTTTAACAGGAATTTCATGGAAATATGAACTTGTGCATCCTGATAAAATACTATTTAATGTCTGCATGTGTGAATGACGCAAAGCCAAAACATTACTGGTAAAAGTATCCCAATAAGTGTCCTGGTTTTGAATATGAAGAGGGCTTTAGTAACTCACAGGGTAACTGTTGAGAGGCTGGAAGTAGAGGTTGTGGTCAGTGATGCAGACATGTCCAGGGTTGGTCACCAAAGGGGACACCATCTCAGCCTCACACTCCATATGTGGACGCTCAGTCACACTCTGAAAGCTACACATACACACCCACCAACACACACACACACACACACACACACACACACACACACCACTTTATCAAAGAATTTTCTCTAAATTGGTAGAACCTGCGCATAACTACATGTATTCAGTGATGTTGAGTAAAGTTCAATTAAAAATTACATTTACACATTTTCCCCTTCCCCAAAATGAAAATGATCAGCCAAGACATGCTTGGCGTCTGAAGTTTGCTTCTTTTACTTTGCACTGGAGCTACGAAGCTGACATAGCTAATGAGTAAGGAAGCTCATAGCCACAAATCAGCATTGTGAAAACTGCTTGAATCAGCAATTTGACATGGATTATAACAGTAGTAGTGGCTGATTTTTGACTGTACTTTGCCCAAAACGCAGATATTTAGCTTAAATGTCAGTTTTTTTTTATATTATTGTGAACTACAGCCAATGAAAGAAAAACAAAAAGCACAGACTACACCAGTGACGCATGTAGTAACAAAGAACAAGTCAAGAAAATTGGGCTGTGCTGACTGCAATTCAGCTTCCTGTGTTACTTCCTGAACATGCAACCAGTACACTTTTTACTATGGAATGATCTGATGCTAAATAACCTATGGCAACTAATCAAGCAATGCTGTTCTGATGCCCACCTAGTCTTACAGGTGTTCAGGAGGTTTCCAACCGCATGATGAAACAACTTCAGTACCCTGTGTATAAATGTAAAACTACCGCTTCTCATGGTCACTTGCTAGCCATTTAATGTAAACCAGTGTAAGCCAACAAAATAAGGCATCCTATCATAATAAATGGGGAGGTTGTCTAAGCCAAACCAATACATTTAATAGAAGTTTGTAGAAATAACACATAAAATATCAGAATCAGAATTTTTAAAAATGTACCAAACCTGGAAATACTGTGCATTGTTACATATACAATACCTGCTCTCTTGCAAAGGAAAATCAATATTTAATTCTCTTTCAAAAACAACTTGTTTTTGACTGCATAGCAAGCTTTGGCCACATGATTTGCATAAGTATAGAAACTTCTACTGTAGACAACTGGTCATATTCTGTTGTATACTCTGTACAATACACTCTCTAAAAGTGCTTGAGAGCAAGAGATTCAGTCTGACTTGTCAGATGCAATTTGTTCCAGGGTCTACAAACCAGATATATTTGACAATCAAAATAAATGTGACTGTTTGCTGCTCGCCTTAGTTACATCCAATCTTGTTTGTCATTTTTGAAAACTTTAAGCTGCTTTAGTAAACATAGTCTTAATAGTGGAAAATAATATGTTGATTAATAACAAAAAGCCAAATTACCTGTTCTTATCAAAAGATGTTCTTGCCAACCTGGACTGCAAATTAGCAGCAATCTGGAATACAACAATTAGCATTATTATAACCAATTAATTTTAAAAATGTATTAAAAAAAATCAGTGATCATTTAATAGACAAAATGTGTTTATTTGTGTCATTTTACGAACCATGGCTGTCTGGTCTCCCAGCTTGTCCAGACATGATGCTCTGTGTAACTACAGATATGAAATGAACTGATCAATAAAAAAAAAAACATCCTGAGAAATAAATAAAAGTATAAAGAGCAGCAATGCAAACCTGCAGCAATGTCTGGACAACATCTTCTGTTTTTAAGGGCATATCCAGCTGGAATATGACATTTCTTTCTCCCTAGAAAGTTAAAACATCAATTATTAATTGATTTACTGCCTGAGATTAAGGCCGAGGGGAATAACAGTAATAAGGTATACTGTGGTATTTAAAAATGATGCCGCTATTTCAGAGTTATAAACTTAGTTAGCTTTATTTAGCCAGAACTGAACATGTTCTGGTGAGCAGCGCTGTTATCATACTAGCAAAGCTATGCTAAGCAGCACCTCTCTCCTGGTTAGCAGCACTGTTTAACATCCTTGTTAGACAGATGGGTTGACAATTATTGAATGATGCCTTGAAAACTGTGTTCACTTATATGATGACAATGTGAGCGATTTTTTTTTCGATTTTGAAGTAACCCAGGACAAGATGCCAACCCTACCTGAGCCTGAGATAACAAAATATTAAAAGACTGTTACGTCATGGATCTTATCAAAATCAGATATGAAAGACAAGGCAAGGCAAAAACAAACCCAAGACTGTACAAATACATCAAAAATTAATACAAATACTTGTTCTCACCCTCTCATATTTGTACGGAGCAACGATATCTCCCTCTTTAATGAGATAAACCTGTCAAACAAAAAATATGTGGTTAAGAAAATATTAAATAAAGCCACTGAAAGTTGAAAATTAGCCAGAGGCTTATTCACACACTCTTGGTTTCTGTAAACATACATTCTGAAGGGTGCACTCACCTGCTTGGTTTCCATAAGTATACATGCAGGTTTGCTTCTGCAGAAAAATAAGGAAGTGAAAACAGGAAAGAAAACCTCAGAGTGAAATAATAACAGCTGAATATGGCTGCACTGGAAAAGAAAATATGAACTGTAGCAGAGCAGCTTCATCATTTTAACACTGTAAGTTCTGAAACATAAAGCTGAGGGCACACTGCAAGATTTTATCCTCAATTCTCCAGTCACAGAAAGATTTTTTTGGAATTTCTGACAACCCCTTTCAGTTCAGCAACGTGATTTTTTAGACCATAAACTGTCGCAGATGCCTCGATATCTTAAAGCATGTCCGACATTCTCTGTGAAGATCTTGCTGTACAACAAGTGTAACAGCAATGAGCAGCAGCCAAAGAGAGCACAAGAAAACTCATGGTGTGAGGTACAAACAACCAAATAACACCAAACATGGCAAAGGGGTGAATGGAGAAAAAATGTGGATGGGTTTGGAAGACCCTGTGTGGACATTCATGATAGCTTTCTCCTCTTGTTTTGGCAATGGCTGCTGGTTTTCTGTAGGGTTGTGTACTGTGAACAGTTGGTGATTTTGAGATTTTGAAATGTGTAGCATCCACTCAGCAGATGTGTTTTAATGTAACTGGGATTGGATGTAATTCATGAGTATTTGTGGCTCCCCAACATCATCAACAACAGTGGGTAAGATCTTTAAAAGCCTTACTCTTTAAAAGGGTTGCCCTCATTCTCTTCCACTGCTTCTATCCGTTTGCAGTCTTTCAGGGGAATCTGTGAGAAAAGCAGCAGGTCAGCATTTTCCTTGAGGAGCTGAATATCTGTTGGTTAGATACTGAGGATCTTAGTATGATATTTACCTTTAGAATAGGTTTGTTCACCTCATCTGGCTCAAAAATGACTGATTTGGAGCAGATCTTCAGTGAGCCTCGATTATATCTGTAACAAAAAAAACAAAAAAACAAAACAAAACAAAAAAAAAAAAAAAAAAACAAGGACATGTTATTAGAAACCCATAAGAAGTCATTAGCTCGGTCAAAGCACATAATTACACATCCCTGATAACATCATTAGAAACACTAATGTTACAAAAATGGTACAGTCTTAAGGATATTTAGCACCTTATAAGTTATTATATAAGAATATAAGGATAGTTACGTTTGAGAATATTAAGTTGCTATTATATGTTAAGGTATTGTTTCGAACGCCGACTTACTGTTAAAAGGTAGCAGGGCATTAAGACTCACTATAAAATGAGTATTTTCTTTGTAGTTTGTCAGAAGACCTTGACAGATTGAAAGTAGGGCTGTCATTGTGAATTATGTAAGTAATCGAGCAATCTACTTTTTAACAAATCATACATGCTAGATATGCTAACAGACAGGACAAACTAGGACCTCTTAAACAGTTAGGAATAAGTAAAAAATTGGTGTTGCAAAATAATGCAAACAGACAGAAGTCCTCGTCAGCCTCCATTTCTTACTGCAAGACGGAGCAGTAGTAAAAAAAATATTAATATATTAAAAAGAAAAAAGAAAATGTAAGGGTCTTGTCTTGTTTGCTTGTGCAAACTATTACAAATACCGACAGCTACAACATGTGACGTTACTTACACTGTCAACACAGCAGAGGCCGTTATTCAAAATTGCCCAACATTCAAGTCAGCTAGCTACTCTTTAACCATTCTGACAGCACTGGCCTACAAGTTGCTCCTCTGGACTTTGAGAGTCTAGTCCTTTAGCAAAACTGTTTTTACCCAATAAAAACTGTCCAATGACAACTAGTGTTTTTAATGAAAGTCTCAAGCGTGTTTGTGTTCAGAAGTGGGAAGTATCTAGTTCTTCTTACTCAACTAAAATTTTCACGGATGTGTACTGTCCTGAGTACTTCTAAATGGATGACACTTGTGCTTCATCACCAGTGTATTTACAAGGAAAATAATCTGTTCTCTTACATTTTAGTCATTGATACTTGTTCCCTTTTCTGTTTAATTTCAGCATGTTAGAAATACTGCATCTGCCCTGCTTTGACCCTCGAGGTTTATCATTTTGTTTTAGACCAAAAGAATCCCAGAAAACGTAAAACAAGTCCTAAAAACTTCAGTCCCTCAGCTGACAGTTGCTGGGTGTATAAAGAAGTAGGGAAGGGGATTGTGTGCTGATACTAACATCATGATATTTTCATGTACGTAAACTAGACTACATCTTCCTGGATTATCATTTCAGAGAAATATAGCACTTTTTGTAAAGGCGACAAATGCAGTAAAATGAATAGGATGCAGACATTTTAACACAGTACTCCAACATCTCAAACATGTTTTCTTTCCAGAGAACAATAAATACATAATCAAATATCAATTTGAATTATCAAATGTCTGTCTGATGGCAACGTTTTAAAGTAATTTTCTGAAATGACTCCGGGATCATTGTACATCCTCACTAAGAAGTTCCCCTGTAGTTCTTTAGGGAACTCATTACTTGGGTTATTTTTTTACTTCTACTCAAGCTCAGGTTATGAAGTATTTTCACTTTAACTTGAGTCATTATTTCACACAAGCAACAATACTTTTATTTGAATATGGGTTTAGGCCACTGTACCCACCTCTATTCGCGTCCTACTTCCCAGCTGTTTGTAACACAATCATTACATATACAGTACCTTATCATTTATTCAAGACTCTTTCAGTTAGAGCTGAACCCACCTGTTTGGGAGTGAACTGCTGCCAGTGCCAATCATATGATACGCAGTATGCTGTTCAAAATAATACTCCTCAAGGTCCAACAACAACAAGGAGAACCTGAAAGACAACACAGAGAGAAAGTTAGAGAGACAGAACTTAAGTAAGGGTGACAGTTAGCACTGCCGTAAAATCCAACAAGAATGTCTTCCAAAGGCTGAGAGAAAAACACCAGTTTAAATTAAGCCATAAATGTCCATCATTTGACACACACGTCCTGTGAGGAGCTTTGTTTCTCCTGTTTCTCCTTTAAGGAAAACGCCGGCTCAGGTTCCGGCATAAACAAACATGGAAACAGAATAAAACACGTCTCACCAGCTAGAAGCGAACAGAAAACGAATCTTTTCTTCTCTCTTTCTTCATTGGCGTCAACACGTACAAAAGATGTGAGGAGGCGGAAAAGGCTTAGCCTAGCAAAACACTTCGGGCCTGCTAACACAGACGATGCAGCGGACTCGACTGGCAGCCCCAGCCTGAAGGCAGAGCGAGGAGGCCGGACGGAGCTCGAGGCTGAAGCTTCTTATTCGAATTTTCCGTTCCACCTTAAACAGTGCAGCAGTTCCTTTCAGGCGGCCACTGCCCACGGGGCTGCTGCACCATTTAAGGTGGAACGGACAATTCGAATAAGAAGCCAACATCAGCCTCACGATCAGAGCTGAGAGAGTAAAGGCACACAAAAACACTGCAGGATAATACAAACACCTCGCACACAGACACGGTGAGGTACCTCTCTCGGGAACGCTCCTTTCTCCTGACGAAAGCCATCGTGCTTGGCGCCCGGCATCAGCACAGCAACAACAGTCTATCAGCGAGCAGCACTGCACACGGAAATCCTCTGGAAACTGCAGAAGAACCGGCTACAGCTCATACCTCAGAAAGACAGCCAGTCCACTGCTTCTATTGGACTGCTGGAGCTAGTCTGTTTACACACGTCACTCTCTCACTCGCTCGCTCTCTCTCTCTCTCTCTCTCTCTCTCTCTCTCTCTCTCTCTCTCTCTCTCTCTCTCTCTCTAGTGCGCATGTCAGCTCATGGCAAGCCTTTCAGTTGAGCTCTTAATGCAGTTTCTTGATATTAATACTAGAAAAGTACGACAATAATCAACATGTAAAAAAATCTAATTCTAGCATTTCAAACCTGCACTTGTGGGAATTATATATTTAGCATGCGAATTATCAATAGTATGATCTTTCTAGTAGGAATTCAATGTTGATTTTTATCACATTTTTTGGTAATGGGACTGTTAAATAGCACCCCCTGACCCCGCTCCACACACACACACCCCCCATGATGTGACTGCAATGTGACTACAGTGTGACTTTAACTTAATATGACTCACACATTTTCTCCATTCCCAGCTAATATAATTTCCGCATATTATAAAACTATGTAATGTACATAAAGTAATAAGTCTCAAAACCTTTTAACCATTTAACTTCACTAAGTTATAAAACTGTGATAAGTGATAGTTGTTTATTTACCTCACAGGCCCCGCCCATTCGTGACGTCGCCGACAAGGAACCGACTCGATTACGGAATGAACATATCGGGAGAGTGAAGCCCGTCGTGTGTTTATCATCTAAAATATGTGTTAGATGATGGAAATTTTAAGACACACATAGCATGGAAATGCGGAAAGCGTCGCGGAGAACAGATCAGCTGGGGTATTTAGAATGTGCTCGTTTTTTGCGTGTAAAAACAGCTCCGGTTCAGTGAACCGACTCGTTTAAAGAGTTGTTCGAAAAGAACCAGATCGATCTCGAGTCAACAAACTGCCTTCATTTCGTGCCGGGAGTGAAGAGAAGGAGGATGAACCGCCTGTACGGCGCCGCATGTTTCTTATTTTTCCTCCAGACTGTTTCCTCTGCTGTCGTCCCAGCGAGAGTCAAAAAAAATGACAGTCCCGTGATAGGTAAAGTGAACTGCTGATGATTGCTGGTGTCATCTGCTGGAGTGCGGTGCTGTAATTGTGTTGGCCTCAGTCTCTGACTAGCTGCGTTGTTATGTCTGTTTAATCCTTCCGGGGTGTAACGTTAGTTTCACAGAGCAGAATTTCACTTTGGGTAAAAATTATCCAGCTTTCCTTAGAAATCTCCTCCTAAAAAATCATAGACACCATTCGAAGTTCTTGCTGGTTTGTGGTGGTATCCAGTAGTCAGTAATTGTATTCAGGGTTTTCCTGATGCCTTGATATCACAGTGTAAATGATTCTAGTGGTTTAACAGATGACCTGTGACTGATTCCAGATACATTTGATGATTTCCTAATAGGATCTCAAGGTGTCCTACAGGAAAGTAGTGGTCTGTAATGGTAACTGTTAAGCCAATTAGAAAGCAAAACCATGAGGTTTTAATCCTAATGGTTCTAAAGGTGTTTTTTCAGCAGGGCCTTTTTTATGAAATGTTCCACTGCTGTAATGACTGATTCTCTCCCTTCAGGTGTTCTTGCTCAGGAGGTGTCTGCACGTACACCTGGAAAAAATGCTTACATTGCAGCCTCGTATGTCAAATATCTGGAGTCTGCGGGCGCAAGAGTCGTTCCGGTCATGTAAGTTTAAAGCAGTGATTTGTAGAAAAATCAAATTTACACAATTTTCCCCTCACCATAAACGAAGGCATGTCGGGGGTCTGAAGTTTGCCTCATTTTTGTAGTGAAGCTACAAGGCCAATGTAGCTAAAAAGTAATGGAAACCAACAAAGATTTTGGATGACACAGTTTTGTGCTTTTTTGTAGTACATTAAAAAAAAACTAAAGAAGCAGACACTGGACACCAGACATGTCTTGGCTCTTCAACTTTGTTTGTTGTGACGGAGGATTTGTGTGAATTAGATTTTTCAGTGAACTGTTCCTTTAAGTGGTTATAGTGACCACTTCTCTGTTGAGATCCAGTAAGACGTGCTTGAGTTTGATTAAGGGAAGTCAATGTACAGTTTCACAAGATTGAGTTATACATTTTAAATTAGACATGTATTTAAAAAAGAGGTATAAATGCAGTGTTACTCGTTACTTGCCACCTTTGGTTACATAGCTTTAAACAATGACCTTGTCTGGTGCTTCTTGACACAGTTGTAAAATGATGACATTTATGGCTCTGGCAAAGACTGACTTCTCTGTACATCCTCAGGATCAAGAAGTCTGAGGAGGAGTACATCCAGCTCTTCAAATCCATAAACGGGTGAGTGACTGAACATCAGGAATAATCACACTGTTCACTGGGGTGACTTTGCAGTGTACTGTAAGGATTCTTATTTATTTTCTCTGCAGAATCCTTTTTCCTGGAGGTGGCGCCAGCATTGTTTCATCTGGCTATGCCAAAGCAGCTGGTATTTTCTACAGACTCGCTCTTGAGGTCAGAAATGGCACACTTTGGCAGACTTGTTCCTGTAGCTCGCATGAAATGATCCTTTTTTTCTTTCTATCATCAGTGTGAATGTAACTGTCACTGTCAGCTGTAATTTCAGAAAACAGTTCCACGTCTGCGACCTTTGGTTGAAAGACTGTACTTATTAGTGTGTTTATGATCTCTAGTCAAGGACTCCAAACACTAAAAGCAGAGGAAGACTCCTGCAGGACTTGCGTGCTGAATATATTTTGTGTGTGTTTATAGGCCAACTTGAAAGGTGATTATTTTCCTGTGTGGGGGACGTGCCTGGGCTTTGAGCTGCTAACATTGCTGACCAGTGAGAAGTTACTACTGTCCCACACTAACACTACTGGTGTTGCGCTACCACTGAACTTTACCAAAGGTGCGGTAACAAGATTAGTAAAACTGTTAACATGCAAGGATTACAGTTTCTTTTCACCTATTAGCTATTAATCATGAAAACTCTTAGGAAAGTACATGAAGGCAGGGGTGTGGATTAGTATTGACTCTTTACTGCTAACACCAAACAGTACCAGAGCTGCAAAATATAGCATTTCTTACAGCAGTTGTTATCGAGACATCAGGCTTTGTTATTGGAATATCACAAAAGTGCAATATGCAGCTGAGAGTGAAACCAGTCGCTGAATGTTTTGTTGTATACTGTGAGCACCCCAACCAATCACAGATGTTGTTTGGATGAAACAATGCTTTCACATGACCCAAAAAACAGTTTACACAAAATATACTTACTAAAATGATTGCAGTATATGCTACAGTATAAGCCATGAAATCCAATGTCCTCAACAACTGAGGCAAAAAATGTCATTAATTTTTAGTTATATCTGAAGCTACAGATGGCGTCGGTGTTCTAGCATTTTCTTTTCTGCCACAGTTGTTTTGACGTGTTCTGAATATCGAGGGGGACGTTGCATTTTCAAATGGTATAGAACCTCTCAAGAGAAGTGTTTTGGTGTTGTACCTCCTCTTGATGCTCGGGATGAACAGTGATTACAAATTGCTTGCCTAATGTCTCTCATAGAACCCGTGAAGTAGTTTTACACTGCAGAGGTTTACACTGTTAATCTACTGCTGCTCACACTGTTTGAACACGTCTGGTAAATGATCAGCACAGAAGAGTGAAGAAAACAAACAGCGCTTTTATTCACCATTTCTCATTTTGATTTACATTAAAATATTGGTGAAGTCTTCAGTTTTGATACTCTGTTGTAGGCCTATTTAATCTTTGTTTTTTTTATCCAGTCAAAACTTTTGGTCATTTTTCCTTTTTTGGTATCCCTTTTTATCCTGATGAACTACGTCACATTACATCACAATATGCTTTTCTGAGCATATTGTGAATATCGTCACTACTGAACACTGAACAACTGCATGTTTCATTACAGAGAGCATAATTAGTCCTGTATAATTGGATGTAGTGCAGTATGTATATATTTTGACCACCCTACTTTAACCATATTAGATCAAAGATTCACTGTTTTCAATATATTGCATTTGCAATATGGAGCAATTTAATTGCAATATGGTATTTTGTCCATGTTTTGCAGCCTTAAATGGAACATTGACTATTGAATATTACATCTCAAACTTTTTTGTTTAATGTTTAATTTGCTCTTTTTGGGAATAGACAACAGGGTCATGTTTTTTCTGTTTTTCCAAAGATCATAATGTGTATTTAAAAAAAAATCGCAATGTGACTTTTTCTTTGATATCGCTCAGAGAAACCAGTACTGCATCACACCTGATTCCACTCTTCAGCTAGATGTCAAGCTGCTTCTATTAATTTACACCAAACTGCAGTTATGTGACTCCCCAGGACTGAAACTGTCCCACAAAAAATAAATGAACAGATAGAGAAACAAACAAGTTGTTGATACTGTGAGGACAAAGAGTTCAATTGTAAAATATGCTCTGATAGCACTGTCCCAGGTATTTCCCCTGTAAAGAGCTACAGTGTGGTCTGTTGTTTTATTGTTGTAGAATCAAAGGACAGTAGAATGTTCAAGGACTTTCCAGATGACCTGATGACCTCACTGACAAAAGAGCCGCTCACGGAGAATTCTCATCGGTGGAGCATCACTACTGAGGTATCACACTAAATGTGATGTTACTGTCAATAGAGGGTTAATGGGATTATCTGTGTTATTACCTCTTACTTTCTGTAATGCAGTCATCTGGAGTAATGCATTTTGACTACCATTATCATCAACACACTGCTAGCATCAGTGCTACACTCACTTTCTTTTTTTCCCCCCGCAGAGTTTCAATGGGAGCAAGAAGCTGAAAAAGTTCTACCGAATTCTGAGCACAAACACAGATGGACAGAAGGAGTTTGTGTCCACAATGGAGGGTAAGAACAGTGGGATCCTCCTACTCCCCCCACCCCCAAATCAGTCTGTTAGCTGATGTAATAGAATTGGCAGTTAGCGTCCTCCTCCAAGTATGCTGAGCTGTCCAGTGACCTTGTGTTAGCAGCAGTTTGAAAACATGTGGTCGTGCTTCACATGATTTAGAGGAAACATACAGTAACCTTAACACTGGTAGCATCATGTGACTGGGGGAGTCCTAGCTAG